GGGTTTAGGGTTTAGGGTCGAGGTGATGTCTAGAGGTTTGGTACGCAGAGCGCAGTGAAGCCTACATCTCCAAATCGGAGAGACTTACTGGTTCTTAGCGGGGAAGAGGAGAATAAAAATTCTGTAGGGATTAGATGTGGATTAGGGATTATATGGAGACCATATACTATATAGATTATTTAAGGATTATGCGGATGTTATTACGAATATCCCTTATTCCCAAAGAACCAGTGGAGAGCTGAGGAAAGTGCATAGGGACGTGCCGATCATCATTGGCACAGCCATCGAAGATTCCTTCGTGGACATCGGGGCAAACGCAGAGATGGACGACTTCAAGCCTCCTGTCCTGACAGTATTTAGGGTTTAGGGTTTAGGGCTTAGACTTTTGGATTCAGGGTTTAGGATTTAGGGGTTAGGAGCATGACGCTAGAACCGCAGAGCTTCGGATTTTGTCCTAGGAAGGCTTGAACAACTATAGTCCCACTTTCCAATCACCAACAGGGTCTTATGTTCAGCCCCATGCAGGGACTTGACATGCAAGGGGTTTATAAGGTTATAGTCCCCCTTAAGTAGATAGAATATGGGGTAGATGGGGATCTTTTTAAAATATACCCAATTGAGGCCATATTCTATCTACTTAAGGCTTATACATTCCTGCACGATGTCGGGTTTAAGGTCTGTGCGGCTTTGTCCTTGAGAGCTAGGAAGAGTCAGCGCAAGTACCCTTAACCCCAGAACCCCTAACCCTAAACCCCAAAAGGTAGGGACTCCGATTTTTCCACCTGCGTGCTTAGCCGTGTAAGGCTTCGGGAATTCAAACGATTTAGGGCTAGGGGCTCAGGTCTCAGGGTTTAGGGTTGAACGTTCTGAGGACTCAGAAAGCAGGGCTTTGAAACACTTTGCTCCCAAGCACAGCAGGGTCATTTTGAACATGACCAGGTACCACACAATTAGTTTGTCACAGGAATTTTCATAAGACTGTCCAAACACCTACGGTGGATGGAGGAAATCTTGCACCACTTAAAAAAAACCAACGTGGTGGCGAAATGAACCCCAAAAAGCATCCTGAAACCTGAAGCAGAACCTTGTAGCCTAACATTCATTTAGTGGTTTAGGGTTTAGGTAAACTCCTTAAAGGGGCTATATAGGCTTTAGGGTTTAGAGCCTCAACTCCTTCAAGGGGGGTTATGTAGGGGACTGTTATAGGGGTTGCTATAGCTCCTTTGGGTCCAGGGGCATCAGTAATTGGTTATGTTCCTACTTCATGCAGTGAATGGCTTAAGGTTTAGGGTTTAGGCCTACTGAGAAAGTGCTCTTTATGACGTTGTGAGGGTTCAGGACTTGCCATACTTGGGGTTGAAGATTCGAGCTCTGCTGGATCGTGTACTATAAAGGCCTAAATGTCACCAAGATTAGGGTTCTACATTCCTTTCATATTAGCGGTATAGGGTATTTCAAATTGACTTCAACATGATTTTGGTAGTTCCTCAGGTCCCCGTATCTCGAGGTTCTGAAGCAAATTTTGTTTTCGTCAAATCGGGGCTTTTCTTCTACCACCCCTGCCCAAGACGCCACAATTTCACATGGACTTGAGATGAGGTTCAAGAAAAAGAGCCAAGCCTCAAGAAACCCAAAATTAACCCTAAACTGAGTTGCTGTTAAGGAATTTGCACTAAGTTACTACAATGAGGAAACCCGAAATTTTGCTATGTAAACATGCTATGGTAACTTTTTTTAAGCTCCGCAACAGCAAGCCAGTAAATCCCCAAGCCCTCGATCCGAGTTTCAAGCCCTTCTCCCAAAGGATTAGGACTTAGGGTAACCCTCAAGATGCCCTAGGCTACAACCTTAAACCCTGAACCCTAACCCCTGAGCCCTCACCCTAAACCCTAAACCCTGAACCCTAAGCCCATGCCCAACAATCTTGAGGGGTGCAGCCCTGGGAATCTGCTCACTCTCCAAACGCAGTTCCTAGGCAGTGGCTGGCCACCGTGCTGCCAGAAGGGAAGGTTTCCGAGGTTTTCAACAAATACAAGGCCAGATCATGCCCAGTTTACCTAAAGCCTTAAGCCTAAACCCATAACCCTAAACCCTAAAGGGTGGGTCCAAGGGCGGTAGGTACTAGGTTGCAGCAAGAGTAAGGTGTTGTTTGCTAGGTTACCTTACCTGCCACCCTTGAACGGGTTTAGAGTTTAGCAAACAAATAGAGGGACCCCTGGAAGGTCCCGAATACGTAATCGTCAGTAAATCCTGAACCCTAAACCTTAGACCCTACAGAATCCTCAGTCCCTATCATCGGCACCTCCATAAGGAGCGGTTCGTTACTTGGGAAAACCTGCATACTTTGCCCTATCATAGCGCGATTTAGCTCATCTCAAGCCCCCCAAATTCCGACCCTTTTATATAGTCACATGGGTGGTTGTCAAAATAATGGTCCCTTTTGGGGTGCCCTAAATATTAGGTGCCGTAGTATAATACGGACGCAAAAAGGGACCATAATTTTGACAACCGCCCACATAACGGGTATTTGGAGGTCCTAAATTCTGGGGTTGTGGTGACCAAAGTCGTCTTCTTACCCCGAGACCCAAGCCCCTTGATGAAGATCGCTAATCACAGACGAGGGGACATCAGAGAAATTCAGATTTAGGATCTTGGGACCCTAAACCCTAAACCGTTGAAGTCAGTGGCTGGCTCCTTCTTAGGACTTCAGAAAGCACTTGCGCGAGGCTCGTCGAGTAAAGTTCTTGATCCTTAAAGGGAGTGATTTAGGAGATTAAATAAGAGGCCATTATGGGGACTGATTAAGGGGGATACTAGGAGTTTAGACTGTAATTAGCTCCCCTGAGTTTCAGGGGCGCTATGGAGCTCTCGAACTTTGGGTCCGCGAAACATTTCTAGCTACGAAGGGCTTAGACGATGGAATGCTAGGGTGTAGGTTAGGGTTTAAGGTTTAGGGGTGTAGGTGTGGGGCCAAAGACTTGTGATTGTGAAGGAATGAGGGAAGCAGATAACAGCACCTCAGGGATGGCTTTTGCAGCGCAAGGCCCCTCGAAGTTCGCGCAGGTTGCACCATGGCATAACAGGAAACAGTAGGCTTTGGTGCCTTGATCATGAGCAGCTCCCGCTCAGGATCTTTTGGGCGAAAAAATCAAGTAGCCTGTTCTGTGAAGGCTGCCCGGAGATTCCAAATTTGAATTCTGACCCCTTGAATCCTCCTTGGGACTTACCTTCGACCCTTAACCCCTTGGATTCCTATTATAGGTAATGAAGGGTTCACCCTTAGTAGGGGTCTGATGTGTCTCCCTGTTGACAGGAGAGTCTTTCAGAGCAGAACCTCTATGACAAGGCTGCAGATTTTCATGGGGTAGGGATTCAGGGACTAGGGTACCTTAAGCCCCAAACCCTAAACCCAGGTGTTTGGTGTTGCTTAGGAGCTCGTAGGGTGTAGGGTTCGGTAGGTTTTCAGGGAATCTTCGCCACCCAGGTTTCAGAAAAGAATATTGCAAGCTTGAGCTACCATGCTGATATGGACCAGACACTCCCCTTCTAAGCTACGATCTAAGTAGGCGACTGATGGAAACGAGTCTTGTGCACAAGTTTTAGCAAGTATATAGGTGTGTATATATATATA